GTTCTGCTCGAACCTCATCTTGCCGGTACATCGACATCAGGAGCTGACTCTGCGCAAGAAGGACACGCGCACAGCTGGCTTTTGCCGATGTGCTTTCCTTTCACGAGGCTCTAACCGCACTCGGAGCCCCTGAATGCTACAGCATGCTACCAGTACAGTGCCGCAAGTCAAACCTTGGTGAAGGATTATTCTGAACTCGAACCTGAAGTCCATGCTCAACTACCCCATAGTGCTTTCAGGAATCGTTCTCTTTTAGCATTTGCCTAACATGCAGACACTCATATTTCTAAACATCTGCTTCCATTGAGGCCACGGCGGGTACAGTTTGAACATCTCCGTACGAAACAATCCGAGCTTGTATTTGCATGATGCAGTCATGCATCTTTAGTTGATGGAATGCACATACCGTGAAGCTTACGATGAAGGCTGCCATCCTGTCATCTTTGGCGGCCAGTGTCAGTCAGAAACCTTTGGGCTTCTCCCTTGGCAAAAAATGGCAACAGGCATGCCTGTGAGCACACCCGAGGCCCTGTACTTCTGTACGATACATCCTTGCATGTCGATACGCTCTGCAGCCAAAACACTGCACCAACGACGCGCACTGAAACTCGTGGACGAAAGTCGGAACACAAAAGGGACATCATGTGATACTGTCATACCAATTTATAATACCCGTTCAGGCTCTGACCATCGCCCCTCAACAAAGCAAGCTGACCAAATCCGCAAAGTGCACAGCGAGAAGACACCGTCCGCTTCTCAACCCCAAGAGTGGAAACTTCTAGATCGAAAACACGAAGACATCAGCTCCTACCGCATCAAAAGACGATACGAGACCTTGGTCGTGGCAAACCGAAAGAAGCAGAGCTTCAGGGCTTCACTCCGGGCAAGGAGCAACACGAAACTGTCAAGACAGAAGTTTTGAAGCACCTAGGAAGCCTACGTGTCGGGATAGCTGAAAGGATCGTGGTGGGAATCGCCCTGAGCGGAGTTCTTTGGGCAAGGCGTGCTGTTCTACGAGACCCTTCATCGTTCCGAAGCCCTCAGATCCTAACCCGGTGAGCTTCTCGTCAGCTTCGAGCAAACAACCCCTGGTTCTCAAAAGCTCCGTGGAATTTCTGGAAGAGAGAACATGCAAGGGTATAACCCCAACAAGCTTTCAAGTGCTTGAATTGCAAAGCCTCCGAGAACCGTGGGTCATATCCACGTCAGAAGCCGCTGTAGCTTTCTACGAAAGGCCCAGCCGGTAGGAGCCTCAATTCATCGTGGGCTGTGGGGAACAGCATCAGCAGCAGCAGCAGCGACAGCAAAAGGGAAAGCAGCAACACGCTCAATAGCTATCAGTGTGAAGCACAATCGTGACCGGTACAGCGCTAGCTGTAGTACTAAAACCGACCTCCGAATGGAGTGCGCCCTCTTGTTCTGATGTGCACGGCATTGGAAAGATCGGATCGGCCTGCCAACCTACATGCAGCTCGCTTCTTCTTTGGCGGGCCAGGTATGCCATTTATTAGAGGACGTGCTGAGGCACGACGTGTGCATTGTAACCTGGATGGGCGACAACGCCTCAATTAGCAACTGTACCGGAAAAGGTCAAGCAAAGCCCTGAAGAATAGTTTCCGATCTCAGCTGGGGCACAGAAGTGGCACAAAGGGCCTCTGTTGGAGATTCACGGCTTCCCTGAGAGGCACCAGATGCCGGCAAAGAGGAATTCCCTCGCTCTAAGTATGCTTCGCACGTGTATCACGGAGCGATAAGTTACCACACGAGAAGACTGCATCAGGAGGACTTGAATCGGAATCTCTGCTCAATGGGCTTACAGCAAGAGATGCCGGTTAAGATTTGAAAATGCGCGCCGAGAGTCACTGAGGACAGCCAGTTCTGTGATGAAGGTCGTCCTCGAATCGCCTCGACATGCATCGGAGGAACTGGCAGCTGCCGTCAAGCTTCAACATGTTTTAAAATATCTGGTGTTCACCTCTAGTGAGGTGCGCAGCGGTGAGAGGGGGAGTGGGCGGGGGAGGAGGACGGGAAGGATGAACATGTTGATGTTGGTGCTGTCGAGTGCATTGCAGTTCGTCGCCAGCGAACCTATCTTGTTGATTCTTGGGACAAGGAAGCCCCCTTGGCCCACCTTCCGCCTTGTCTTGGCGGATCCTTCCTCAGCTGCAAGAAAGGCGCCACACCCGTGATTCTGGAATGTCGGAGCGTGACCCTTCTTGAGTAGAGCAGCCCGTCGGTGTCGTACTCGTGGGGCATCTTCGATGCTCTCACTCCCTGCTCTCCTGCTGGGCTTCGCCGGAGTATGAGGAAAACAGGCACGCCTAATGGAGTCTAGGCTTTAGGGTTTGGGTGCAAGGATTTGGCACAGGCATGACAGAAAGCAGTTGAAGGACTTTGGCTTTGGGTCTTCGCGCAAGGGAGGGGGCTCGTGCCGAGTAGGGGATGGTGCTTTTTCATCCCCCAGAGCCAGCGAGAGACCCAACGCACAGAGTGGGAACTTCTGGTTGGCAGATTGATGCATTCGGATGAATCTGACTGCTTGAGGCCGGGGACCTTTGGGCCAGCTAGCACTACAGCAAGAAGCAACACACATCAACATCACTGCAATCACCACCACCACCACCACCACCACCACCGCCACCGCCACCGCCACCGCCACCGTCATCATGATGAGCACCGTCACCACCAGGTCAATCACGACGGCAATGAGACCTCGACATATTCATAATGTTGATGCTGCAGCTGCTGCATGTGCTCCTGCTGCAGTGCTGACAATGACAATGCTACGATTATGCTGGTGAGGACAAGGACGACGACCACGATGATGAGGAGGCGGACGAGAGAGGAGGAGGGGGAGGGGGAGGAGGAGGATCATGAGCATGATGGTGTTGATGTTTCTCATGCTGTTGCTGCTGATGACGGTGGCTGGTTTGGTGGTGTCTATACTGTTACTGACAATGACCATAAACCTCAGTGTGTACCAGCAGACTGCCATCTGCCCGAATAGAAGTTGTCCGTAAACTGCGTGCATGTTGTACCCAACAGTGGCAGGTACTGGTATATACCATATTTCAGAAAACACATGGGGACTTAGAGCAACACTATTCGATTCGTCGGACTTAAACACATCGAAAAGTAGTAGCAGCAACATGAGGAATGAAAACTGAACAGTGATCTCATGATCATCATCATTCTCATCATCAGGTACCTGCCAACAATACTAGTGCTCAGTGCTTACCAGACTAATAGCAATCCTCAGGAAATTGCGGTTGAAAAAACCAAAACCAAGTTCTGATGGCTGGTGAATGCTTAAGAAAAGTTTGATAAGAGCAGGTATGGCAGCCCTAGGCATATTCAGAAAGAAAAACAGTGCTGATCGAACGCAGGACTTCGCAATTATCACAGCAGTCATGATCATTGCAGATACATGTGTCCACGTGCACATGTTTCTCCGTGCATAAGGGCATGTGTATACTGTGCATAAGGTGTGTGTGTATATATATATATTGTACATAAATATATATTTATATACATATACACATGTATATACATATATATATATATATATATATACCCACACGCCCGTGTATGTATATATGTGTTTGTACACATATATGTATATGATATATATATATATATATATGGAGGCAGCGAGAGACAGAGTAAGAGAGGCAGTCGGCGAACACACCGTAAACGCGGTACTGCACGAAAGAGCTCATGTTTGAATGCCTCTGGGATTGGAGTCCTGAGCTTCCGCCGACACGAGAGGCTGCGATTCCTTCGGATGGAGCGCATTCCTCCGTGTTTGATGACATGAGGACAGTCAATTACAATTGCTTTTTCACTAAACTCTTGTCTAAATACAAACCAAAGTTCATGCCAAAGTCGGGCCAGGCAGCTATTGGCATTGTCGCACGGCAACTCTTGGAAAGAGACCTGGCGGGAGTGGACAAATGCAGGAGCGGAATGTCGGCGTCTTTTAAGTTGGCACTCTGTAGTAGTTAGTAGTGTCTGGGAAGTGGCGAAATCCACGCAGAATGCCAAAGACTGGCAACTTCGAGCCCTTGAATCTGCCCGCGACTGCAGTGTTCAACCCTCTGCACATCAGGATCCGCGATCCAAGCATAGTGGCAAGCCCCACCCTTCGTTTCTGACATGCCTTTACCGCCAGAGACAACCTCAACTTCACAAAATCTCCGAAAGGTGCAGTTGCTTCAAAACCATGCAGCCTGCCGTCGGATGGCAGAAATCGAAAGACTTTTCGTTTTGAATACGCACCCTGCCACCAAGAAGCAAAGTGTCATGAAGAAGTTAGAAGTCTAGATGAAATCAAGCCCGGTCACGCTGTGGTCGAAGTGGACGTGGCGCAGCCGCCCCGACCGCAGGAGCACGCCTTGGAGTTGGGCACCTGACGCCGGCTCTTTCAGTATCACCCAAACCTGAAATCCAGGAGCAAATTACAGGCGTGTGCCTGTTTGCGTGTCTTGTCCTTGTGCAGCGCGTGTGCGTGCATGTCTCTACTCTCTACCGGCAAAGTAATTAGCTGGAAAATTTCTCTCAGACATTGTATAAGCCCTAAGTCATGCACCATGTCCGGAAGTGTCTTATCATCAAGTATAGAGGTGCGAACAGCGTACAAGCGCTGAGTAAACACTCACACGTGCACAATATCCGGAGGTGTCTTATCATGCGTCGAACGTGTGACCAGTATAGACGTACTGTACAACGAACGCGATTTTCACAACCACACACACACACACACACACAAACATCGCAAACAAACCCAAACACACGCACACGCACACACACGCACACACACACACACACACACATACACCCACACACACCCACGCACGTAAACAAACAAACACGCGCGTATGTATGTATGTACATAGGTGTAAATGTCACAGATAGATGAACAAATAGGCAGCCAGACAGACAGATAGATGCACATAGACATACAAGCGCACATGTACCTACATGTGTATACACATGTTTCCCTAGGATTGCACTAGCTTGAAGCTGGAACCTTCCAGAGCCTGGGCCTTTCCAGTCACTTTCGGACCGAGGGGCCCTCCCCGTGCACGATCGACTTCGCAGCACGCCCCCTGCGGCTGCTTGGAGACAGATCGACCTGGCCAGATGAGACTCTAGTATTGAAAGATAACGCTCAATGCTCTCGTAGCTGCATCTTCAGGTGTGAGGGCATGTGGCCATCTGGGAGAATTTCGACAGCTGTTCAACTTTAATTAACCTTTGACCGCCAGCACCACGACCACCACTCACCACCACTCACCGCCACCACCACCACCGCCAGCACCACCACCAACACAATCGCCACCGGATTATTCTCAATCTGCACCGTTGTTATTGCGAGTACAGCAAGCTACTACCGTTAACATTTAGCAGGCCCCCTGCTCCTACTACAACGCCGATGATGATGAAGATGATGATGATGATGATTGAGGTGTTTCATCTCTTCATATGAGTCCTACACCGAGCTCCTACAGGGTGTGCGCGTTTCGTGTTTTCAGCGGTGCTCCCTGTCACGACCTTGGAGTACAAGTTGCCTTCATCACTCTCTCACATTGAAGGTTTGCTTCAGCCGAGAGAACTTAGAGCAAAGCTGAGTCGGCGGCCAGGTTGGGATTGTCGTGCGTGCGGCCCGATGGCTTTGGGCATGCCTGCTGACACTGAGGAGGTGTTGGCACCGGCTCCGTGAAGTGACAACGATCCGAAAGGTCCCCGGTCGTGGAAATGGTCATCTTGAACAAACGACGCCCCTGATACGCACCTCAACCAGACATGTTCGGCGGAAGTAATTAGAGGTTCAACAAGGCTGCAAGTAGCACGACGTTCGTGTCCCCCACGAAGACTGTCCTCGTCCTGCTTCTGCACAGCTGGCATTCCCGCCTGGGCAGCTGAAGAACTTGGGGCCACCCCATAACCCCAAACCCAAAGCCCTAAACCTTTCTCCACTTCTGTGATGATTCTGACCACCGTCTGCTGTCCCACTGCCGTCGAAGCATTAGTACTTCTTGTGGCAGTACTGGTGGTCGTGGTGGTAGTAGTAGTGGTGGTAGTCGCCGTCGCAGACGTAGTCGTAGTGGTAATCATACTGACAGTCGTCGTAGTAGCAGCAGCAGCAGGAGTAGTAGTAGTAGTAGTAGTAGTAGTAGTAGTAGTAGTAGTAGCAGGAGTAGTAGTAGTAGTAGTAGCAGGAGTAGTAGTAGTAGTAGTAGTAGTAGTAGTAGTAGTAGTAGTAGTAGTAGTAGTAGCAGTGGTGGTAGTAGTGGAAGTAGATATCCAGTAGTCAATTGTACTTAGTACTTTCTTGTAGCAGTGCTGGTACTAAGGGTACAGTAGAAGCAGTAAGACTCGGCATTGTCTATTGCCTTGCTCGCGTTCCCGCTGTGTTTCTTGCTGATCATGAAGCTGCTACCGGTGCACGCTTGTGTTACTGCCGTGGTGGATGCTGCACGAGAGTTAGCTATTCATTGTCGCTCTTGTTCTGATTAAGTAGACATCCCCGGGTGGGCTCGTTCTCCTTCTACTTGCGAAGCAGCAGGGAAGGCTGCGATGAATGAGCTTTTCCGAAGTATGCTGGAGATCCCGCGTCAGTCCGATTCTGAAAGAATCGTCTGCTCTGAGGTCGGACCGGTTAATGCGGGAGCTCTACATCGCGCAGACAAAAAGGCTGGAGAACATGAGGGTCTGGGAGAGAATGACATTTCGAATCAATCAATGCTGTCCCACAGTCCGGGCCATAATCCAAGGTGAGACATAACACATCCAAAACCAAAAGATAAACCCCAAACACACACATCGCAAGCATGTGCGATCAAGCTGCATCTCTGTTCTCTGATGGCTGCTGGTTCGCTGACCTAGCTCGAGGTTTTGTGTTCGGGAAACCTGGTAGCGCGCTGACTGAACAGTGATGTTGGGGCTCCCGAGGAATTCAAGACTCCGAAGCTACGAGGAAAGCATGTCGGTCGGCTTCTGGCCGGAAGGCTTGATAGTTCCACTCGACAACTCCGGAGAGATTGAACTCTTGCAAGGGGTTATTCGACCTTGACTGAGCAACCCGAACTCCTTCCTCCATGACTGAAGTACGGAAGTGTCTGAGTACTTCACTAGTCGTGTTCCAGGGCCTCGGGCCCCTTTGGAGAGAGCTGAAGTGTCAAATCATCACACATCAATACATCCAAGCCCTGAGTGCTGAACACCCAGACGCGACGTACGACGAGATAGCTTCCGTGCACTTCTGATCATAGAAGGGTCATCCCCACTTCTCATCTATGTGTCCTGAGCTATAATATCTTTTCAATCTGTTCATAAATTCAAGGGCCCAGAGAGAAAGCTGTGACTGGCAGTTACCGGCATGCCTGGCATATCTCGGCAGGAGGTGTGGGTCCCGTGGTGTCGATGACCTCAGCCCGTGTCCAACGTCAGGGCAGCCTAGCTCTCGCTTTGCGGGTGTCAGGTTTTAGGCGGTTTACAATGGAGTTCTGAGTGCACTGTCAAGAAACAGCGTGATGCTGGCTTGGGACAATTTCTTGCTGCTTTCAATCATGATGTGCGTACGGTCGCGCTGACTAAGCCGGACGAGTATGAGCATGCGCCTTCGATGGTTTCTGCTTGGAACATGGCGGCGGCTCAAGCGCAGCAGCATACCACAAGACCACTTATACGAAGCCTGCGCAGCTCCTTTAGTGCTTCTGCTGAAAAATACCCGAAGCACGACATGCACTGGAAGCCTATATGAAACTTCAAACCTGCATTCCTTGGGCTGACAGCCCTTGTTGTTTGGAACTTCAACAGACCTCGACGGAGGATGCGACATCGCCGGAAGCAGCTTCTTTTGTGTTCCTCTCTTCACTCGGACGAAGCCTCCCCACAGTACGATGAGCGAAGTGAAGATCACGACATGACAGCGCCGTGGAGCTCAATCTCCTCCGCTTCCCGGACCTTCCTTGCGCGGCGCATGCACAAGGCGACACAAATCGCCAGGGTGACAAATGTGATCACGGCAACGGTCGCCAAATCCGGGAAGCCACCGCCACTGCTCCCATGCCCAGGGGCCGCCGTGACTTTCGGGAACTGCAGTCCGAGCCTCCGCCGGCTTCAGACCCACACAAGCTCTTGAGCGATGCCCTCAAAGGTTACAAGATGTTACAAGACTAAACACACATCATGCTGAACATGGTCTCGGGAGCTTCTGCATCTCTGGAATGATGGGTGGATCGGGTGGATCCTCAACTTCTCCTGCTGAGACGAGGAACGAGGGACCCCAGAATCCAACACCAGTGCACTTGCTTTCGTCAACTGTGTACCTCCCCACATATTCGGTACCGGATGGAAGCACAAAGCTGGCTTGAATAACAGGCTCCGTCTTGCCACGAGCAGGCTCTGAAATGAAGAAGGAGAGGGCCATGAACCAAGTCAACTGTGTCGTCTGATTACCGTCATAGGCCTCAGTCAGCTGAAACTTCCCACTGCACGCGTTGCTGGCAGTTCCCATCTGCTTGCTGCACTTGAATACCGAGCTGGTGCATTCTACCTCCTGGATTTCAGCGGCTGCAGAAAGTGACTCGTTGGAGCAGTACTTTCTCTCAGCAGGTTGGGTGACAGAGAGCTGGGAGGGACTGCTTGCATAGTACGTGAGATCGTAGACGCCGGCAGCACACTCACGGAAGCACTTGTGGAGGACGTCAGGGTGTTGCACCAAGGCCCATGGGCCCTGTGTCCAAGGATCCACAGCTGCAGCATCATTGGGGACCAGAGCATCCCCCTTCGGCACCGCATAACCTGATGTCAATGCGGCACAGATGCGTTGCTCTTTCACTCTTCTCTCGGAGCCTGTAGCCTATATGCAACAAGGCAACAGAGCTGGAGTATGAAGTCGAAAACGGAGCAATCTGAAGGGTCACAATGAAGCCTGAAAGTAAATCGAGCAGCCCAGTAGTCCGGAGCTTAAGCCCACCAGAGAACCTTTTTCTTCATTTAGCACAACCAGATCACTGGGTGAAGACTTCGCACATAAGATTTGTGAGCTTTCGGACTGCCTGCCTTTCCTTTTCAACAAAGGTCCGAGGAGCATTCTTCCCACGCGCGGACCGATGCCAGGGTGGAAATGACCAGTAGCTTGCTCAAGGCCATCATGCAAAACCCGATATGCCGTTTTATCTACATTCACACATCCGTCGAAATGTCAGAACCTATCTGTATATACTCATCTACCGCCCCTCGCATACTCGCTTCGTCACACGACTGGCAAGGAGTATCGTTACGAAGTTTTCACTCTCTTGCAAGATCAGCGGCCGAGCTTTGGAAAAGGATTTTCTAAACGACCTGAGCCACCGACTAACGGCGTAGGTAACTTGACAGCAAACTTAAAAGTTCAAGGGCCGAGAAGGGCTGAATGTCTAAACGATGATGCGTGCAGAATGGTACTGTACTAATTCACCCGAAACCATGACCTCTCATGCCCTGCAATCGACGTCTTGAAATCATCCTTACCTCCCGGGTCCTGCCGAACGGAATGTTGCGCAGCTTGCGAACAGCAATAAACCGTTGGAGATCCCTCAAAGCATGAGATGTGCTCGAGATAACCCATTCCCACGAGGTCGACACATCGCCCAAGACATGAGACCTTGGTTGGAGTGTCTGCTCGCCTCAGAGATCCAAAACGGGCTCTGCTGCTGACATCCACAGATCCAGAGTCTTCTCTTGACACTCTTGAGGGAATTTGGCAAGAAACTTCGGGGCTTCTGAGCCCTAGAGATCCTCAGAGTCAATCCTCGGCTCCACAACCTCGCAGGCCCTGAGCTTCAACTACCGACCCCTGTTCCAAAGCGAGTCCATGAACACAACTGCGCAGTGACGAAGTGAGCCACGGTGGTCATGGTGGGCTCGATGGCTACTATCTCCACTGTAGGAACCTTCAACTCGTGAACAGCCAGGCTCAAATCTTCCAACCGAGGTCCGAGACAGCGGCCCGGTTCGCGCCCGGCACCGCGCGCTGCGTGATCGCCAGGGCGAGGCCGGCGAAGCGCAGAAACTCCAAGGGCTCCTGCTTTGATTACACGGATGGCCCTAGTATCAGTCGATTCCCATCAACCTGCAGAAGATTGCATGTCAGCACTAGTTACTAGTTGCAGTATGGTGGATGTGCAAAATGCAGAATAGGCTGAGCGATAACACTGATCGAGCAGGTGCATGGCAGGTGCCAGGCTTCTGGAGTGTTGTCCGGCGGTGGAGAGCTCTAGGCTTTAGGGCTAAGAGCTGCATGCAGTCTACAGGTCTGATGAGGCAAAGGAGATCTTTATACTGTTCCGGTGGTGGAACTATGCACCTGCTACAGAACCTGTTGCTTGCAATCGACGGCGGAGAGCGGCAGGCTTGGACTGATAATGTTCCTGTACTCACTTGAATGTCTAGCCATATACGCACCTACATACATCCATACGTACATACATGCATACCTAAATACATACATACATATACATACATACATACATACACACATTCATACACACAGAAATACGTACATATATACATGCATACAAGCATACAAGCATACACGCATACACGCATCCATCCATCCATCCATCCATCCATCCAGGCAGCCACACACATACATGTACATCTACTGCTCCAGCATAGATCTACAAACAAGGAAATGGCCCCAAGATGACAACAATAACCATAGCGCACACGGCTACTAGGACCACCACGCCGCTGTGATAGGACAACCATGACAGCAGCAAGAGACCAGCAGGACACAGCCAAACTGCTTTCCCCCAAGTACTGGCTTCTGGCGGACATTTCCTCAAGTACTAACTAGGAATGATTCAGAACTACGGTGCTTCTGCGTCCATATACTGGCGAGACTCAAGAACATTCAAAACGCTTTACCCCACGTACTGGCGTGACTCAAGGTTTCCCGACCCAAAACGGCCCATGCAAAAGATGAATCTGGCTCTCCAGGCTATTTTGCGCGCGCGTGCTTACACTAAGCAGTTCCCTTTACTTCACAAAACCAGTATGGCCCCCCTGGCGGTGCGTATTTGTGGCAGTCGGACTTGGTACGTTCTTAATCACATTCTTTGCACGCACACAAGGTTTTATTGAGGCACGACGTGCCAGCCTCTAACAAAGTCTTGTTTGTCTGTTCAGGATTTGTTGATCAGGCCTACATTGACTACATCTTGTTACAATTCCCGAAATTCATGTCTTGTTGTCATATTTGTCAAAGAAAAATGCAAAGCATGCACGGTATCGATAAGCCACAATTCGGGCACAAGGAAGAGTGTGCTTGTTGTGCATATGCAAGCTTGTGACTGTCTCTGAAGCTGTCTAAGCAGCCGGCCCCCAAATACACATCATTTTCACTCCTCCCCAATGTTATATCGGCCCTGTACAGCTTTATTTCCCTTCACAATCCCTAAACCAGCTTTCCAACTCGACTATACTCCGTGTACGCCATGCCGCCCGAGTCTATTAATCCACTCGGATGTATCTTGCAGTAAGGCCGGGTTCGGTCCCAGGTGCATGCTGCAATCACGAATTTCCAACATGTCTGCCCCCGTATCGGTTCCCCAAAATGCGAAGTACGAATCCTCAGCTCTGAAATTCCACATCCTGAACCTCTAAGCTGAAACTTTACGCTGTCACTCGAAAGCCCAACATCCCCAAATGCCGCTCCGCCAGGTCTGCAGTTTCGACGGCTTCCGTGCCCTGGCAAATTCGCGTCTTTTGTAATTCGGGCCCACTGTTTGCTGTTCCTGTGACCTTTACGCCTTGGGCAGCATTGGGAGCACTAGAAGCCAGAAGCGGCAGCAGTGGTAGTAGCAGTAGCAGTAGCAGCAGTAGTAGCAGTAGTAGTAGTAGTAGTAGTCGTAGCAGTCGTAGCAGTCGTAGTAGTCGTAGTAGTCGTAGTAGTCGTAGTGGCCGTAGTAGTCGTAGTAGTCGTAAATGTCGTAGTAGTAGTAGTAGTAGTAGTAGTAGTAGTAGTAGTAGTAGTAGTAGTAGTAGTAGTAGTAGTAGTAGTAGTAGTAGTAGTAGTAGTACTAGTAGTAGTAGTAGTAGTAGTAGTAGTAGTAGTAGTAGTAGTAGTAGTAGTGGTAGTAGCAGTTGTTGTTGTTGTGGCAGTAGCAGTAGCAGTAGCAGCAGCAGCAGCAGTAGCAGTAGCAGTAGCGGTAGCGGTAGCAGCAGCAGTAGCAGTAGCAGTAGGAGTAGGAGTAGGAGTAGGAGTAGGAGTAGTAGTAGTAGTAGTAGTAGTAGTAGTAGCAGCAGTAGTAGCAGTAGCAGCAGTAGCAGTAGTAGTAGTAGTAGTAGTAGTAGTAGTAGTAGTAGTAGTAGTAGTAGTAGTAGTAGTAGTAGTAGTAGTAGTAGTAGTAGTAGTATTTTGCACCACTTCGCGGTCAGTATCGCAACTTGAAGCCAGAGGCAGTGCAGTATCTTCAGATGCAGGGGCTTCCATTGGAGCAGCAGCCGTAACGTCTGCAGTGCCATGCTTCCGACTTCAACTGCATGCAGCAGGGAAGCGTCCGTGCTTTCGCCATGGACTCCCTTGCGATTGCTCACAGTTCAGATTGGGTGCTGCGGTATGGTACTGAGGTCATGCTGGCTTCTCCTCAATCCTTGACTGATGCTTGCTACTGTCTGGGGTGAGGGCTTTTGACTTAGGAGTAGGCTGTGCATGGATGCCGATATTTCGATGTATAGACCATCCATGGCTCGTGGCATATGCCTTGACGCTTTGCTCTCATTACTCTTTCTTGACCAAACGACTGCATTTTGCAGCTGCTGTTAATGTTATCGCCCGCCAATGGCGGACTTAACTTCATTGTGTGACTGCAGAGTTACGACTCGAGTTGCCCAGCATGCTCGGATCCTAGGATCGATGCTGGCACGTTGAAGTTTTCGATGGGGTGTCTCAGACATCGCTGCTTCGGTAGCCGGGCCAAGCTCGCCGACCCGCTAGGTGGACCCTTGGACGTTCGCCGCGATTGGAAGGAAGTAGTAGTAGTAGCAGTAGTAGTAGTAGTAGTAGTAGTAGTAGTAGTAGTAGTAGTGGTAGTAGTAGTAGTAGTAGTAGTAGTAGAAGTAGTAGAAGTAGTAGTAGTAGTAGTAGTAGTAGTAGTAGTAGTAGTAGTAGAAGTAGTAGCAGTAGTAGTAGTAGTAGTAGTAGTAGTAGTAGTAGTAGTAGCGGCAGGGGTAGTAGCAATAGTATCAGCAGCAGTAGTAGTAGTAGTACTACTTCTTCTACCACCGCTACCGCTACCGCTACCGCGACCGCACCGCCACCGCTACCGCTACCGCTACCACTACCACCAAAACACTACCACTACCACTACCACTCCACCACTACTACTACTAGTAGTACTACTACTGCTGCCGCTACTACTAATACTACTACTCCTACTGGTAATAACAAAAAGTACTAGTACTAGTACTAGTACTAGTACTAGTACTAGTACTACTACTACTACTACTGCTACTACTAGTAGGTAGGTAGATAGTACAAGGAATGGTAGCAATCCCAAAATGGCAGCACCTAAAACATAAGATGCAATCTGCACTGGGCTCAACAGCAATTAACAACGTCTTCATCGTGGGACACGTGCCAAGATCTCCTGTGGCTGTAGTCTTCGGGTGCCAGTTGAACTTCCCAGCAAAAACACTCTGAAGCATGCACTCGACACAGTTCGACCTAGACCCGATCCCCTACGCCCTAAAAAGGAAAACCCTAAACCGGAACCACTAGTAGTTGTACTTGTCAGCAACAGCAACAACAACAGAGGCGGTAGCTTCATGTCTGCAGCAGTGAGGCTCCAAACCCGCTGTCTTTAAGATAGGTCTAGCGTCTGCATATGACAATACATCCCTGACTTGAAACCTGAAACACACGTGGCTTCGGCGTTGCTGTTTGGAGTGCAGCATGCTGGCTGCAGGGGCTACACCTGTCTCCAAAATGACCCCCGCCGTAGATCTTGAAATGACACCACGAGGCACCTGAGGCAAGGTTTCCTCCGGTGCCATTTCATCTTGCGACAGCACGTCGCCCATGCTGCGCCGAGTGGTGTAGGCTGGTCGGATCAGGGCTATGTCGTAGCTTTAGGGAGCCGATGGTCACAAATCAAATCTGATTCAGG